CGGCTCCGAAGCTTCTGCCGTCGCGGAGATAAACAAGCACCGCGACTGCCCAGCAGCGCCGAACCCTGCGCGCCCAGTCGGACCCCAGGGCCTACGTACCGAGCATGCGCAGTTCCCGCCCGAGCTGGGAGCAGTCAACCTGAGACTCCCACGTTCAGAATTCGGCGGAGATGCGATGGTAGAGGGGCCAGAGCTACCTCCAAGCTTTACCCTGAGGCGAGGAGTGAAGGGGAGAGATGCCCAAGGCCCAAGAGGGACCGCGAGGGCCTTTGCCCGATGCCACCCAGTCTGTCAGCACTTCTAGAGCTTTAGTTTTATCTTGTATTAGCATGTGTAGCTTTAAGGGGACGGGCACCTACAGGCTTCTGCCTGAAGTTGTGTAAACGCAACAAAACGAAGCTTTCGAGTGTTAGGACATTGATAGGAGGGTGACAGCCCCCTCCGGCAGCGCGCCACAGGGGCGAGCCAGAGGCGGCCACACACCACGGAAGTTGGGTCCAAGCCTGCTGACGTCGCCAGGGTCCCGCCCACCAATCCTCTGGACCCGCTCACATTTCTTCTAGATCCGCCCCTTTCAGTGCCGAACTGCAGTCGAGCTCTGCCCACGCCCTGTCAGCCACTGGTGAATTGAAAACCTGGAGAGCGGAACCCCGACCGGCAGCCGGAAGGCCCCGGGACACCTCATAGCAACAGCCGGCTAGGGGCATCTAGTGGGAAGCTGGGATTCATTCTGGCCAACCACGTCATGTCTCTGCACCCTATGGTACCATTCACTACCAATAAGAGAGCCTCCCCTTACCACGTGACTTTCCTCTTTCAACCAATCGGGAAAAAAATCTGTCGCGGGATCCGCAAGCACACCTCCCAGTGCCTCGCCAGGCGGGGCGGTTCGCGCACGCTTTGCCAACCAATCGTAGGTGAGCTGGCGTGTGACGGAAGCTTCGACCAAGCCAACCAGAGCTCGCGAGCCCCTTGCCACAGAGGCCGGCGGGATGGAGATAGGGCCCGGCTGCGGGCGTTTGGGAGGGGCACAGATTGAGGAGCCAGTTGCTGTGCTCTGTTCTGGCAAAAGAACAAGACGGGTTGCAAGCCAGAATGATGAATTCCACTTTTAACGTCGTCTCCGTGGCATTCTGCCTAAATGGTGGGCATGGAAGTGGTGCTGAGGGATGTGGGCTGAATCGAGAACACAGGGACTTTTGTCTTCAGGGTGAGAAATGTTCCGGTCCTTAAGGAGATATCGTGCAGCAATTGCATGGGTCTTCCAGGCGTTCCTCCCAGAACATTATTTTTTCTTTCACTGTTAAGTTTTAAAACTTAGCGTTCTGTCGCTAGCATTACATCTTAGTTACACACCCTCTCCCACCCATAACGTCAAATTTAGGAGACGTTACATCCTCAAACATTCCTGCATTATTTTTTGCAGTTACCGGTTACTCGGTTTACTTTCTTTAAACTAGGTCCTTCTCAAACTAGTCTCATCCGTTCGTTACTGTCGCACATTTCCTGCGAATAATACATTTCTGTAGTTCTATTGTTAAAGCCTGGCATACCTCTCCCCTGGTCCTCTTTCCCACAAGGTCATCATGCAGAGGGGATTTTGGTCTGAGTTAAAAGCCAGGTATTCTTTCACCATCTTTTCTGTCGATAGTCAAACTACTGCAAAGACTACTCAGATTTAGTAGTTTCCTATTTCCCTAGAGCTTTGTTATATTAGAATGGGTAACTTATATTTGCATTACCTTGCTATAATAAATACACACCAAGTTTTCATTTAAAATTATCAAGGACAAATGTCCTCTGAATTTAAAAATGTGTATGTAGTAAAATATAACTCAGCATTTCTTGATTACATATCATTAAAATATGAATGGTACTATCTGAGCCACCAGAATCAGCAGTGAAGGTATTATATTAATAAAAAGGATTAAGAATCAGGACTGTTTTAAGGGAATTGGAACCGAAGAGGATCTACTATTTCATGCTAGGCTAGTAATGTGAAATAGTGAATTAAAATTGAGAGAACTTACATGGATGCTTCATATCTGAGCTACTTTGGCAGGGATGTTTCAAGAGGATGTAGGTAAGTATGATGTTCACCTAGCTTTCCAGAAGTCTCATATTTTGTGTAAAACTGGTATGCTTATTCATGGTTACTTTAGGTTAGTAGCAGCTATACTTCTTTTCCAAGGAAAGACAGATTGTCTCTTTTAAGATTCTAATTGTGCATCTTGGTAATAAGAAGTTCTTAGATTTGTTCAATAGAGTCAGGAAGCATGAAGCTTTCTCTCTAGATCATGACAACCCATCTAGTACCTTGCATTACAGACAAGTTCTAAGTCCATTTACTTTGCAAGGAATAAAGATTCAGTGATTTATGTTTTTGAGAAATTTGCTTTGGGATTGTGGGTCCAGAAGGTCGCCTAAAGCAACTGTTTTCATGACTCCTAGGTCCCTAGATGTTGAGAAGCTCTGGACTGAAGCTGTCACAAAAATAGTGAGTAGTCTCCGTAGTCACTCCGCTTAGCATAATAGAGAGTAGGACAGCTTTGTGACATTTCTCAGGTTATTTCCCCTGACCTCTCATCAATGCTGACGTTTTTGATAAGAAGGAGTATAGAGACTGCAGCCCTTTGGGTGGTTATAGCTCGTTTATTTACAGGCCTTGTATTGACAGGCCTCAGATTTCATGCTCAGTACCATAAAGGTTGATTTTTAACCACCAAGAGGCAAAAGAAACATGACAGGTCAGAGCATATTTTCTCACCTATTCTGGCTTAAACGATGGTACTTACCTGATTTGTGGCTGTATGTGAAATGTTGGGTGAAAGATTAGCTGCTATAAAAAGGATGTCAGGACGTGTAGAGAATTTAGAGGACTTGGGGGGGAGATGGATGTCTGTTTTCTAACCCCTTAGTCATGTTCATTCTGATGCCAGCATAAACTCTATTCTGAGATGATTATAGAAATAACTTTTGTCTTCATTCATTTGTTTGTGGGAAATAAATAAAAATGATATAAAAGAAATGTGAATTATGCCCAAGAGCTGTAAATCTGTAAGACAGTGAAAACTTAACGCTGTAACTGACACTGCAGGATCCCTTTAGTTTCCGAAGTGCATTGCCAGGAGAATAAAAAGAAAGAAAATCTTCATTTCTCCTCCCTCCACTAAATCTGAGAGGGAGTTATCTCACCTATAGCCAGATACCTTCCATTATCACAGTTGTGTTACCATGGAAACCCAGGTCCATCCTTTCTTTCTGTG